TGTATACACTACTGGCAATTCAGTTTAAGTAATTTAAGTAGCCTAGTGCTTATCGGTTCATTATAGATTTCATATTCTTTTCAATAACTCTTGACTTGTATTTATTTCCATTCAGTTAATTTTGACTATCACTCACGACGTTTTCATTGTTCAATAAATAGATTGTATTATTTAACAATTTTTGTCACTTTCTGTTTCGCTAGTGGGAGAACATTGGATATCAACATCCATAGTTAACTGTAACTGTTTGCTATGAATATTTCGGTGGATCATGGCACTACGCCCCAGATACATGTTGCGTACGGAAAAAAAGTTCCACGGATAATTTCAGACTTGATTTTATCTTAATCTTCCGTCATGATTCTTCCTTCTTGTAGTTAAGATATGGTCGATTATTTGTTCGACCCGTTGATTATATATTGGAGGTCTGTCAGTCAGTCAGTCAGATGCAACGTAGAACTTCGTACGTAAGTACATCAGTTCATGTTGCCATACCACATCAGCACAGAGAAGTAATTGTCAATTCAAATCCAATAGTAGTAGAGGTAGTAAGGGAATTAGAAGTAATCGGAGAGGTTAGGATTAGAAGATATTATTCAAGAAGTATGATTCAGTGAGAAAAGTTTAGAAAGTCAAAAGTAGAGGTGTTGAAGAATCCAGAAGATTAGGATTTGAGAGAACACAAAGAATAAATGTACCGGCGCCATTGCGAACGAGCCATGTCATTCAAGGTCTCTAACCATCGATTATTATCATCTTGCGGACCCCAACCAGGTAGTCGACAATTACCGACATGGCTCAGTCCACTAGTCAATGACTTCATGGATTTCTGCCATGTTTATTGGAGGTCTGTATTACTTAGTGTATAGTTAAACCAATCAAACACTGGTTAGTATTTATCTCATTTATTTAGTTTGTTGAGAGCTATGTCTTAATTGTATTTTTATTGTTGTAGGATTTCATCTGGCCTCATATATCATTATCCGCACTCCACTTACAAGTATTATCTCTGGTTCTAAACTTCTGTGACATCTCAACAATTGTCAGTGAACTGAATACAAAAGTTCATTTTAAAAATTTAATTCATCTAATAAAATACTTCAATCCTGTGTGGTGCGCGCTACTTATAAGTAGTATATGACGCGAGTAAAAACGTAATGTCTGACAGCAGAAGATGGGGGAAGATCAAGAAAGGAAGAGCGGGAACACAATGGGATTTGTATGAAACGCATGAACAGTGGTGAAATGTCAGACAATGGATTGATGTTTCGCAACAGGAACAGTCCAGTTCTATATGATGGATTGATATTTTGCGAATTAACGATATGGTTTTCCTATTTTACTGATTAACTCTGTAATTTGCGATAAATACAAATCAGTTGCCCTCACCTGTGTTCTCCTTCACTACACCTGTATCAAATAACGAATTTAAGTGACCCAAAAGAGCTATAGTAAACTGCTACAATCAATATACTAATACTAAACAATACGAATAGGTGACTACTCTCAAAGGAACATAAATCACAACTACTCGATCTCTTAAAAGACAAAGATTCAATCTTAAGCTGTCCAAATGAAGGTGTTGGTATTAAGTTATGAATCATGGTTATATCACAAAATTATTATCCATACTCAAGTAGATGTAACTAAACAAATTAAACAGAACTGGACAAAAATCCTAAGAAAATGGGTGAACCAGTTGTTAGTGTTGAACATTGTGAACAACTAAAACCCTCCGGTATTGTTATTCCTAGACCAAATGACCTTCCAAAATTACATAAGAAGGATTTGCTCTTAAGACCCACTTATAACATAAATAATTCACCGTACCATGAGACAGCTAAATAGCCCAGCTGAAATCTTAAAACCTGTTAAAAATAAGGTAAAAAACATTACCTTACACTAGACTCTTTCAACTCTGTCAGATCAATCGCTGATGTCATTTTGTAATAGCAATGAAAATGTTACTACTTTGTCTGCCTTATAAGCCCATCTTTACTTTATATAACCTATCATGGATTCATTACACACTTCCTAAAGGTAAGTAAGTATAACAGTTGAAGGTTATTTGATCATTATGCTAACTGTATTTTTTCCATTTACAGTATAGAATTATCAGTAACCATTGGAAAAAGTTTTATTCGCTTCTCAATTTTTAATTGAAATACACATTACATTACCTACCTACATTTGAGGTAATCACATTTTTTTTCATTTCTATTTGGCTCAGTAACAACAAAGCTGACTTGACACAGACTATTTTGAAGTTATTCGTTAGGGCGTTCGCGCACAATACCGAAGGTCCTGGGTTCGAATCCTGTGTGGTGCAGGAGTCGTGGATGAGCACTGCTTAGGAGTCCCATACTAGGACGAAACGGCCGTCCAGTGCTTGCAGGTTTCTAATGTTGGTCTAACATTGATCGATTCATGGTTTCAAAAAATATGTGACTTAACAATCTTCACAACCCCGTAATGCATATGTATGTTTGTATTAGAACACAAATATCACATTCAAAAACAAAAAAATATTATTAAAATGTAATTAAATCTTCATACTTTACTATCTTTAATAAATAACAAAGTTCCAATTTACTCAGTTAATTAGACAAAGAATACCATTTTAATTTGATTCTATTTTTTTTGCATACCTTACAAAGTGTAATTAATAAGTCTGATAAATACCGCTACATATTATTTGTGTATAAAGAAATTAAGGTCAATTTAACTTTTAATGTGACACCACTTTGAAAGAAATAATTCATTTTTTATAAATTATTCATAATTTTTACCGAATGTCTTTTGTCTAACAACGTTGTACATAGACAAGATTTTGAAAAAAGAAAAAATCTTACTCAGTTCAATCCAAATGATCAGTTTAATTCCATTGCTTGTCGGCATACTTTCAAAGAACGAACGAACAGATTGATTGAAAACAAATTTTAAGAAGGAAGCCAGTTTGTGTTCTGTGCTAATATTTTAAGTTTTTCTCTTAACCACTCAAGAGATTTTCCAAATGAAATTCAGGAAATGCTAATTTTGTTATGTTACTACACTGAGAACTATAAGAACTTCTGAGTCTGTGAACATTCATTCTCTGAGTTATCTTGAACATTTTATGGATGCCTGATTGCCACCTAGCCCATAAACTTTAGTGATTTTCACTCATGCCGTAATTGATATGAAGTTTATTAGCTTGAACCTATTATGTTTATAACTGACAGTAATGTTCACCATTTAGGAAGTTAAATAGATTTCAATTTCCCCCTAGTTTGAGAACTGTTTGTTTCAAATTGAGGAAGTCACTAAGAAATTCATGAAAATCACAGAATTGGGAAAAATTCATTTGTTTTGTCGTCTCCGTTTACTATCTTTGAGTTACATGAGTTTCTTGTTCACTCAGCATTATTATTTGACCATGAATATTTTCTGGTTAATCATGATTCTTTAATTCCTCGGCGAAGATCACGAAAATGTAATTTGACTTATGACGCCTCGGGTTAGTTGATATAATCTCTTGATTTCAAATTATGGCTCAATTTTATCTGTTTCTTGGTTTTGCTGTGCGATAACATCTTAATGAGCAGCATTTGAAACAAGTCATCCAGTGTTTTGGTGTGTTTTGTTAAGCAACTGTCTAATGATTCCAATACATTGCTTCTATCACTGACTTTGCCTTTTCTGAATAAGATCCTTTTATTTATTATTTTCGGTGGTTTCCCGTTTATTATTAATCAATCTACCATAAGCCATAACCTTCATGATAATCAACTACCCTGAGACCATTTTAAGTAGATGATAGATTAGGGCTCACTAGTAGCTATTGCACTGGTGGGCGACCTATGCTCGATTGGGAGTAACAGGCGTAAGTAAGTAAGTAGTAGCTATTGCAGATCGCGATCTCGACCTTTTGACTTGAAATATATGAAACAATAGGAACCAAACAAATCCCTGGAGAAAGTTATGCCAGCTGCAGTGTCCTCAGGCTTCGGATTCAATCTTGTCGCTCATATTTCTGCGAGCCCCTGGTTTTGATGAACGGTTTTTTGATTATTTAAGCAGACAAATTTAAACTTGAAGTACTAAGTCGATATAATGAAATAACCACCTGTCTTTTATCTATGACAGACTGGGATTACCCAGTTTAGGAAGTAGTCTGGTTGTTTAGAAAGCTGGGTTTACTTTCACACCTTTGTTTTTTGTTGCCAATAATCCATTACAGTAGAATTTTCGCGTAATATGTATGAATCGTAATTCTAAACATAGGAGTTCTTCAATTTTCCGCATTGGTATTAGTTTTACATTCACACTACTATAAAAATAATCAGAGTGCGTACAACACAGTGATAAGTCCTTAGTCACATGCTCTTGTTTCAACTAATTCAAATCAGATTTTTGTGATTGATCATTTGGCTGTAGTTTCAGTCGGGAAATCTGACCAAATTTAGCGTAAGGTCAACGACTCAGTATATACCACTAAGCAACGGGAGTTGATAATTTGATAGCATACAGGTTACTCACTTGGGTCAACGTTACCGATATTTCTTTAAGGACTTGTATGTGTTTTGCCAACGTTGGCTAACTTCTGCAGTTTTGAAAATAGGAAAAAAATGTATTATATCACAAGGATGTGTTGTTTTAGCTAGAGAAGAAATGTGACAGACAAACAAGAACATCCACATAACAACAGTGAGACTAATCACGTCCCAGACACCAAGCTATACTCTGACTCAATCAACAAAGGTCAATAGGATTCACCTGCTTAATCAGAATTCACGTGACCTTTTGTCGGGGTAGAAAAAATTATGGACGGACAAATTTGGTTGAAAATCAATAAAAATTATTACACGCTATGTGAGCAAGACAGACAGAAATATAATTGGTCACAATAACTAAAAATAATGTTAGTTTCACCAAATATGGATATGACAAAATAACAATCCTGATTGGCTTTAGCTATTGAGAACGGATTGGCCTTCATAATATAGACATAGATCTGACCATATAAGGTTATCATCGGTTTTATATAACAGTAAGATTATTTAGTTCAACTCATACTCTCTCTAACTCACTAAACAATGGCCGAGGATGACATTGCCGCCCTCGTCATCGACAACGGATCTGGTATGTGCAAAGCCGGCTTCGCTGGAGATGACGCTCCCAGAGCTGTGTTCCCTTCAATTGTCGGGAGACCTAGACATCAAGGAGTGATGGTGGGAATGGGTCAGAAAGACAGTTATGTGGGAGATGAGGCCCAGTCGAAACGTGGTATCCTGACACTGAAGTACCCGATTGAGCATGGTATAGTGACTAACTGGGATGATATGGAGAAGATATGGCACCACACATTCTACAATGAATTGCGTGTAGCTCCAGAAGAACACCCAGTATTGTTGACCGAAGCCCCATTGAACCCGAAAGCGAATCGTGAGAAGATGACGCAGATCATGTTTGAGACTTTCAATGCTCCAGCTATGTATGTTGCTATTCAGGCAGTGTTGTCACTGTATGCATCTGGTCGTACAACTGGTATAGTGTTGGACTCAGGTGATGGTGTGACCCATACAGTTCCAATCTATGAGGGTTATGCATTACCTCATGCTATTTTACGTCTGGACCTTGCCGGCCGAGATCTTACTGACTACATGATGAAGATCCTGACTGAGAGAGGTTACAGTTTTACTACCACTGCAGAACGTGAAATTGTCCGAGATATCAAGGAGAAGCTTTGTTATGTTGCTTTGGATTTCGAACAGGAGATGGGTACTGCAGCTTCTAGTTCTGCTTTGGAGAAGAGTTATGAACTTCCTGATGGTCAAGTTATCACTATTGGTAATGAGCGATTCAGATGTCCAGAAGCTCTTTTCCAACCTAGCTTCTTGGGAATGGAAGCATCAGGAATACATGAGACAACTTACAATTCCATCATGAAATGTGATGTGGATATCCGTAAAGATCTGTATTCGAACACTGTTCTGTCAGGTGGAAGTACTATGTATCCTGGTATTGCGGATCGTATGCAGAAAGAGATTGGTGCTCTTGCTCCTAGCACTATGAAGATCAAGATAGTTGCACCACCTGAACGGAAGTACTCTGTATGGATTGGTGGTTCTATTTTGGCTTCGTTGTCGACATTCCAACAGATGTGGATTTCCAAACAAGAGTATGACGAATCTGGTCCCAGTATTGTTCACCGTAAATGCTTTTAATGGCTCCATTAGTTTGTACAAATGATATAAGTAAAATCACTAAATGAAAACGTTTCATAATTCATGGCTTATTTGGTTTTTTAATTAGTTTTGGATGTGTGTTGCTGGGTCCAGGCGTTATTTACCGTGGAATATTACTCGATTACTCTTTCGTGTCCATCTCTGTCGACTTAGTCAGCTGTACCTCGATATATGACCGAGCCATGTGGTGCCTGTTGTCGGTAGGCGGTTTGACATTACGGACGGACGGACGGTGAACACTCAGTTGTGCAGACTGCCGGTTTATTTTTATTAGTTCCCGCATCCCCGTTGCTGTTGGCGTCACAGTTCTCTATTCCATTTATTGTAGTTCCGGACCGGGTTTTCTAACTATTTTTCGCTAAATTAATGTTGTCGACCTTCGACACATCGGCGGGTTAACTAGGCGCAGAGTCGGCTGGATGGTTGTTCCTTTGTTATAAGTATGTGTGACGAGTATCGAAAAAGTAGGTACCCAATCTAGTCAGCTACGAAAGTGGTCGGCATTCTGTGTACTAACTTCCGAGGTGGTGCAAATAGATCTATTGAGAGATCTGTTGAGTCTGCAGGAATGATAACCAAATTTGGAGTATTGAACTTGACCCCAGCTGGCTGTTGGTCGTTCCAGTCTGTAATAAAGCTTGTAGGTCCTCTTGTGATGATCACAATAGAGTCGGTTTAACGGATCAGTCAGTTGGCCAACAACAGTATATTGAACTTCAAACGTACGTAAATCAGTTGAAGTTGTCATACCACAGTAGCACAGAGATGAGATTGTCACTCCAAACCCTATAGTAGTAGTAGTAGAGGTAGAAGAAATATTAGCATTAATCGGAGACTTTATTGTTCGAAGATATTAATGAGGAAGTAGAATTTAGTCAAATAAACCTAAATGAAAAAGATAATGGTGATGAGGAACTTAGAAGGTTAGGACTTGAAAACGGTTCTGCAGCATACACATGTTTCCCGAAAACGGCTGTATTTCCTGGCAATATCTGACTTACTAGATCCATGGGTGTATTATAGTGTCTGTTATCGAAAGCTGTACGAAAGAGACATTAACGTTCTAAGGACTCTAATCGAACACTACCGGTCAAGTTAGATTTGAGATCGAATTGATAACACTAGGTGATGTTTATCAGCGTTGTTAACCACCGTTTGTATCGTACGTCATTGGATAAGTTTTCTTCAAGATAATGCTCTCATTAAGCTTGAGGAATATTCAGATGATATAGTCCTGTTTAGTGAAGATTCTGAGAGAATGAAGTCTCACCTTCATAAGCAAAAGCATTGAGGTGTTTGGAGTGAGTTTCTCTCTCTAAATACAAGGTATTGTTTCTTAATCAATGTGAGTCAGTACCCGAACTACAGATAGGGATTGAATTGGGTTGGATGTGTCTGTTATTCATGCACCTTGGAAGTCTTATCAGCACGAATAGAGAAAGCTCGACTGTCTTTTAATAACTTGCAGCACTTATAGCCAAGGCGAGGTGTCCATCTACTAACCAAAGGACGAATCGACTGCACAGCGGTTCATTCCATCCTACTTCATGGGTCAGAGATATGGTTGATAAGAAGCGAGGATAATCATAGCTTACTAGTATTTGATCATAGATGTATCGTATATCCTGGAGCCATCGAATAAACATTGCTGGTGTCAGGAAAGGGGTAGTAGGTAAGGATGGCAAGTCAACTAATGAAGTAGAGGATCTTCATTGGGTGGGGTGTGTGAGACACGTGCTAAGTATTCCCAACTACCGTCTGTCTCGTCGAGCGATGTCTGGTCTAGAGATAGGCTGGAAGAAAGTTAGAAACGGTCAAACCAAAATATGACACCAGTACATGAAGTTATCGATAACTTGACTGAGCCATGTTTATGCCTGTACACCATGTGGTTGGGGTGCGCGTGATTGTTGTAATTATTGACGGAGGACTTTGGGTGGCATGACTCAAGATTATTAGTACTGGTGCATGTATATTAACTTTTTATCGTCCTGTAGATCCTAATAATCCGAATCATATCATAAACTTCTTTTATTTCATCCTGCTAATACATATTTTATTATCGAGTAATATCCTTGACCTATAATTTTTTAATCACTACTTCTCTGCTATTTGCGCTGACAGTTTCATCTCGCTATTACAGTGTGATGTGGCAACTTAGACCGATGTTCACAGATGCCAGGTTTTGCGTCTCTCGTGACTGACTGGTCACTGCTAAATGCTCATTACCTTCACATCAATGATTTAGAGTTTGTGGTTCGTACATTATAATCTCATCACTTTTAGACTAACTGAAGTTTCAGGATGCTATTAAGGAAACATAAACTAGGACAAAACAGCTGCTCAGTGTTCATGATATTTAAGCGATTCTTGATGTGATATCTACCTATCTACAACGAAAAAATATCTGCAGATCAGATGAATCTCATCAAATTATATGAATAAAGTGTACTTAGTTTATCTTTTCTTCATAAGGCTATTTCATATATTTGAATGAAATGTTTTCGAAGAAATTTTCGTTATGAACTGAAATTAACTGATGAGGAATCTAGAATGGTTGTGAACTTTTTTAGTGAGCGAGTCAAGATACCAGATTGACTATGATCACCACTAAATGTTCCATACGTTAACGTCATTCATATCAAAACAAATCCATGTACCGAGATTTTATTGAAGGAGACAGTAGGCATTACATCGGGAACAGATCATTTAGAAAAATGGCAGCAACGCGAAAAGGACGTTGTGCGCAAGAAAGTGTTTTCGGTACAGTTAGACAAAACGAGTACAATAATGTTTATTTTTCACAAATCATATTTTCTTCGTAGAAGCGTTCCACTACAAACTAGACACATATGCATGCTTCTTGTTTCGGAATTCCATACCATTTTCAGTCGGCATGAATAATTCAATTGATTGGATTGAAAAATCGATAAAGTCAATGGATTGTAACCTTTTATTGAATTCAATCAACATTAAAGATAAGTTTATTAAAACTATCATCCATGAACTGAAACAATCTGATCTGCCTAATTGTGATTCTAATTTGAAACACTAATCTCCGCAGATTCGCATAATCCTTTACAAGTTCAATTAATCTGTGAATTTACTTTTAAGAAGTTTTACATATTATCTATCTATCTTTGCTATGTTGTATGTAGTAAAAAGATTATTCTGATAAATTCACAAGCTAAAACAACAAGAATATGTAAATTAGATTATTACTCTATTTTGCACTAATATAAAATGAGCTTATGAATAATTAAAAAGTAATCATTTATTGACGTATTATCATAATGAATATACTAAACAGCCTAAAATTAACCAACATGAATGATAATTTTAAATCAATTTACTGAAGTGATTACGTAACTTTGTGTTGAAGTATAATTATTCAATATGAACTGCTATTTTATTTATACAATTCAATGAAAAATATTGATTGATTGATGAAGTCAGTAATCAAACAAATATTTAAAGACTGTCAGCTAAACAGAAGAATGGTCATGTCTTTCAGTGTGATACTGAATGATATGGACAGAGATTTCCCCTATGGAGAATGATATTTTCAAGATTTTCGCATAAATTTGGTGGTGTAGTCAATTAGAAATGATAACGCAACAGTAGGATCAATTGCCAAATTACCAGAAAGCATAAAATTACATTAGAAATAATTCAGCTATTATTGACACAGAGTTAGAAAGTATGAAATATCAGTGAGGCTATAGAATTATTTACTTATTTTGTTCAGATTATCATAATAAGATACATAGCATGTTGGCATCCAGATGTGACACCGAAATGCTTCATTGATTTTTTGATTATTAGCTAATAATAATCAGAATAACTCCCCCTGTAGACCCTTCGGAGCTACTGCCGTTCCCAAGCCCGGATAAAACAGGAGGGTTGGGCACGGGGTTGGCGACCTCATTTTATCTATGCTCTGGGAGTCGGAAGAAGAATTATGACGTCGCGTGATGAAAGCCGAGTTCCCTCGGAAGTTGCGGGGCCGGAAACTTGAGACAATTGCTCGCCAGAAACTATCGTAAACCAGAACGACCAGTGAAAAGCAAGGAAGGCAGAGTAATCAGCGACACTGAAGAAAAGCGAAATAGGTTTGTAGAGAACTTTAAGGAACTCTTGAATTGACCAGCTCCACTGAACCCACCCAACATCGAAGCAGTATCCACGGACCTCCCAATTATTATTGGCGCACCTACAATTGAAGATATCAGCATGGCCATCAGACAAATCCAGAGTGGCAATTCAGCGGAACCAGAAAACATTCCAGCAGAGGCAATGAAAGCAGATGTAGAAGCAACTGCGAAAATATTTCACATCCTCTTCAAGAAGATTCGGGTTGAGGAACAAGTACCATCAGATTAGAAAGAACGATACCTGATAAAAATACCAAAGGAAGGAGATCTCAGCAAGTGTGAGAACGACATAGGCATCACTCTTCTTTCAATACCAGGCAAAGTCTTCAACAGAGTATTGTTAAACAGGATGAAAGACTTCGTAGACGCCCAACTTCGAGATCAACAGGCTGGATTTCGCAAGGATCGATCATAAACCGACCGGATTGCAGCATTACGGACCATCGTGGAACAATCAATTTAATTGAACTCATCACTCTACATCAACTTCATCGACTACGAGAAAGCATTCGATAGCATGGATAGGAAAACACTGTGGAGGCTTCTTCGACACTACGGTGTGCCTGAGAAAATAGTTAACATCATACGGAATTCTTATGATGGATTCAACTGCAAAATCGTACACGAAGGACAGCTAACAGACTTTCGAGGTGAACACAGGTGTCGGGCAAGATTGCTTACCCTCACACTTTCTCTTTCTCCTGGTGATCGACTGGATTATGATGACGTCAACATCTGGAGGGAAGCACGGTATTCGGTGCACAGCTAGGATGCAGCTGGATGATCTGTACTTCGCAGATGACCTGGCTCTTCTATCTCACACGCAACAACAAATACAAGAGAAGACGACCAGTGTAGCGTCAGCCTCAGCAGCAGTAGTTCTCCACATACATAAAGGAAAAAGCTAAATTCTCCGATGCAACATAACATGCGTCAACCAAATCACTCTTGATGGAGATGCCTTGGAGGACGTAAAAACCTTTACACATTTATGCAGTATCATTGACGTGCAAGGTGGATCTGATGCAGATGTGAAGGCGCGGATCGGCAAAGCAAGAAAAGCATTTCCACAACTGAACAACATCTGGGACTCAAAACAACCATCAACCAACAGCAAAATCAGGATTTTCAATACAGATGTCAAGACAGTTCTACTGTATAGAGCGGAAACCTGGCGAAATACGAAAGCCATCATCCAGAAGATACAAGTATTTATGAACAGTTGTCTACACAAAATACTTCGTATTCGTTGGCCAGACACTATCAGCAACAACGTACTGTGGGATAGAACAAACCAGATGCCAGTGGAGGAGGAAATCAGGAAGAAGCGGTGGAAGTGGATAGAAAACACATTACGAAAAGCACCCAACTGCGTCACAAGACCAGCCCTCACTTGGAAGACTCAAGGTGAAAAGGAAAAGAGGAAGGCCAAGAAACACATTTTTCCGAGAAATAGAGACAGACGTGAGAAGAATTAACAAAAATTGGACATGATGATATCACAGACACTCAGAGCTTGGCAACGATTTTGCCGGAAATTCCTTTCTAATAGAGAATACCAAAACCCAGTCGAACTGGAGGTCATGAATAAAAGAGATCGAAGGTATATTTGAGAGGAGTGAGTTATATAAGTCAGTCAGTCGAAAACGAATCAATTTACGAAGTATGAATGCCATAAATATTTAGTTACGAAGTAACAATAACTTACTATAGATTGAAATGAAATAAGGAAATCATTGGAAATTTCTATCATTTGGTGTTTTTTTGGACAGATTACAATTTCTAATCATCAGAACAGACCTTTGTAAAATGTTTAAATCGTATTATTTGAAAATACACATAAATCTGTATCTCACATGGATTATCTATACATGAATACAAAACAACTATTCAGACTAATAATTTTATACACTTGGTAAAGAAGAAACTTTTCTCGTTTTACGTATTCTTATTCTAGGTGTTCATTCACATTCAGAGGATATTCTAATATGTGGACGTTGTCGTCGTTTATTTGAACAAGTTGATGAACTTATTTCACATAAAATGGCTGGTTGCAGTTTAGACAAAGATAATGGAACTGGTTGTCGTTGTCGAGCTGGTAAGTATAAGGTTACAGTCAACTTATCATGCATATCAGTCAGTCAGTTACGACATAGAACTTCGTAAGTACGTACGTACATCAGTTCAGGTTGCTATACCACAATAGCAGAAAGACGCAATCGTCAGTTCGAATCCAATAGTGTTAGAGATAGTAAAAGTATTACTAGTAATGGAGAAGATTAGAGCTTCAAGGTATTCAAGAAGTATGATACAGTGAGATAAGTTTAAGAAGAGAAAGTTAGAGGCGAAGATGAATTCAGATGATAATTCCATAGAACAAAACGAGTGGACGCACCTGCGCCATTGCAAGCGATTTCGAACCATGTCGTTCAAGGTCTCTAACCATCGGTTACTATCGTCTCGCCGGCCCAAAACAGGTAGTCGACACCTACCAACATGACTCAGTCCACTTGTCAGTGACTTCATGGATTTGTTCCATGTTATCGTTTGGCCACCCCTAGCTTTCTTCCAACCTACTCCTAAAACACAAAACGTCGCTCGTCGAGACAGTCGGTGGTTAGGCATACATAACACATGTGCCAACCACATCAACTGACGAATTTTCAATACTTTATCTATTGATCAATCTATTGATCGAAACGATGGAATTATTTAACACAATGATGGCTCATACATTAGATTGGAATAAAATTAACCGATGATAAATTTAAATACACTGAAATAGATTGCACTGTTTTCTCCAATGAACCAAAAGACTAACATTTTATGTTTTCTCCCGATATAATTTAAAGTTTTGATAGAACAGTGAGAAGACGAAATTGATCTTCTCACTGTTCTATCAAAATTCATAAAAGGGACTAATTGTTTTAAATAATTTAAAGTAATGGAACCTCTATCTCATTAACCACTGAACTGAGATGTTAATATCCATTTTAGCTATATCCTGATTATTTGTATTACGTCCCTCATTTCTAGATGGTTTTAAAACTATTTGAATTACAAATTTGAGGTTTTGAAATGTCTTTCCCCCAAACAATTTTAATCAAGTTATACTACTATGGTAGACTTGTGTGCAAAGATATTTTAACGCAGTTTCAGAAAAAAGTTGTTAATTCTACAAATTTTGTATCAATTTATCTATGGTTCATGTTAGATGAAGTGTAATCTCAACATTTTTATTATCAGTTTGTGTAACGCTGTATTCTGTTAAATGTTCCACCCAATTATTGTTGTCTCTTCCCTACAATGACGTTGAGATGAATGCGTTAACCTTCCAAGTCATTTCTACACGTATATACAGCCATAAGACTAAACACAATGTACTATTATCGAAGCAGACCAACTACTACTCAGTAATCAACACAACCAATTTTATCAACGTCTTGCGTACAGACAAGGTAGTTTAGATTATTAGCCAATCATAAATTACGTATGTCAGATATCTAATTTTCGTGGTCTCAATTCTCATAGCATCTCTTTCTGCCGTAAGATCAAGATATCTGCTCTTGTACGGGGTAGACAGACAGAATTCAAGTCTATAAAAGGAAGTCTAGATAATTGATCAAAAATGTAGGCGACCAATGAATATTATCTGGGCAGAACGACTAATGAGTTTAATATTGGTAAGTGTTAAAAAATGTGATTGAGCGGACTGTCTACTGATTGGCTAATTTATTGAATGTCTTAGTTAGCCGTTTATGGTTATCTGGTCAACGGTATTTAGTAAATCAGGTTGAGCGTTTTACTAATCAGAGAAATGGCTGAGGATGATATTGCCGCCCTTGTCATCGACAACGGATCTGGTATGTGCAAAGCCGGCTTCGCTGGAGATGACGCTCCCAGAGCTGTGTTCCCTTCAATTGTCGGGAGACCTAGACATCAAGGAGTGATGGTGGGAATGGGTCAGAAAGACAGTTATGTGGGAGATGAGGCCCAGTCGAAACGTGGTATCCTGACACTGAAGTACCCGATTGAACACGGTATAGTGACTAACTGGGATGATATGGAGAAGATATGGCACCACACATTCTACAATGAATTGCGTGTAGCTCCAGAAGAACACCCAGTATTGTTGACCGAAGCTCCATTGAACCCGAAGGCGAATCGTGAGAAGATGACGCAGATCATGTTTGAGACCTTCAATGCTCCAGCTATGTATGTTGCTATTCAGGCAGTGTTGTCACTGTATGCATCTGGTCGTACAACTGGTATAGTGTTGGACTCAGGTGATGGTGTGACCCATACAGTTCCGATTTACGAGGGTTATGCATTGCCTCATGCTATTTTACGTCTGGACCTTGCCGGCCGAGATCTTACTGACTACATGATGAAGATCCTGACTGAGAGAGGTTACAGTTTTACTACCACTGCAGAACGTGAAATTGTCCGAGATATCAAGGAGAAGCTTTGTTATGTTGCTTTGGATTTCGAACAGGAGATGGGTACTGCAGCTTCTAGTTCTGCTTTGGAGAAGAGTTATGAACTTCCTGATGGTCAAGTTATCACTATTGGTAATGAGCGATTCAGATGTCCAGAAGCTCTTTTCCAACCTAGCTTCTTGGGAATGGAAGCATCAGGAATACATGAGACAACTTACAATTCCATCATGAAATGTGATGTGGATATCCGTAAAGATCTGTATTCGAACACTGTTCTGTCAGGTGGAAGTACGATGTATCCTGGTATTGCAGACCGTATGCAGAAAGAGATTGGTGCTCTTGCTCCTAGCACTATGAAGATCAAGATAGTTGCACCACCTGAACGGAAGTACTCTGTATGGATTGGTGGTTCTATTTTGGCTTCGTTGTCGACATTCCAACAGATGTGGATTTCCAAACAAGAGTATGACGAATCTGGTCCCAGTATTGTTCACCGTAAATGCTTTTAATGGCTCCATTAGTTTGTACAAATGATATAAGTAAAATCACTAAATGAAAACGTTTCATAATTCATGGCTTATTTGGTTTTTTAATTAGTTTTGGACGTGGTTTGGATGTAATTGCGTTGCTGGGTCCAGCCGTAATTTACCGTGGAATATTACTCGATTACTCTTTCGTGTCCATCTCTGTCGACTTAGTCAGCTGTACCTCGATATATGGCCGAGCCCTGTGGTGCCTGTTGTCGATAGGCGGTTAGGCGTCGGTGGATTAGTTCATTATGGACGGACGGTGAACATTCAGTCGTGCATACTGCGTTATTAGCTCCCGCATCCCCGTTCCTGTTGGCGTTACAGTTCTGTATATCCTTTATTGTATGGTGTTTGGCCTTTCGGGTAAGATTGTGTCTAGTTTGTCGATTATTGGGTAACTGCAGGTTGGGTATGAGGAGGCTCGCCCTAGTCCATGTACTCGTAGAGCGTCACGATAAGTCACTGGTTTTTGTTGCAACCGCGGAATAAGTGGGCGCAGAGACGACTGGATGGGTGTTCGTTGTTATAAGTATAAGTCTGACGAGTATCGAAGAAGTAGGATGCAAATCTAGTCAGGTACGAAGGGGATCGGCATACTCTTTACTAACTTCCGAGGTGGTCTGAATAGATCTGTTGAGTCTGCAGGAATAATAACTAGAGTTTGAGTATTGAACTTGATCCCTGCTGACTGGGGGTTGTACCAGTCTGCAATGTAGGTTGATAGTCCTCTTGTGATGATCACAAAAGAGTCGGTTTACCAGATGAGTCAGTCGCCCAACAACAATATCTGAGACTTCGGACGTACGTACATCATTTCAAGTTGTCATACCACATTAGCATAGAGATGCAATTGTCACTTCAAAGCCTATAGTAGTAGTAGAGGTAGTAGAAATATTAGCATTAATCGGAGATTTTATTGCTCGAAGATATTAATGAGGAAGTAGAATTTAGTCAAATAAACCTAAATGAAAAAGATAATGGTGACGAGGAACTGAGAATGTTAGGACCTGGCAGGACACAACGAGTGGATGTTCCTGTGCCATTGAAAACGGTTTTGATCCCTGTTATTCACGGTCTCTAACCATCTATTATTGTCATCTCGCGGAACCCAATCATGTAGTCGACACCTACCAATATGACTCAGTCCACTTGTCAACGACTTCATGGATCTGTGCAACGTTTTGGTCCGGTCACTCCTTGCTTTCTTCCAACGTATTCCTACACCGCAAAACATAGGTCTCTGAGGCAGTCAGTGATTGGTCATTTGTAAAATATGTTCCAACCAACTCAAATGATGAAGCTTCACTACTTCATCTATTCATCTGCAACCCTTACCTAGTACCCGTTTCTTAACAACTGCATTGTGTACTCGATAGTCACAAGATAAACGAGTAATGCTTCGGAGACACCTATGATCGAAAACTCTGACTGGCCATGGCCCGACCGAAGCTGCTACCTTGACGTGGTGGTCGGGCTTGCCTATCGTGATGACGAAACTGAGCTACATTGGCTAGAACATATGTTCCTGAAGGTTCTACCATGCCAGGCAGGTCGATTGGAGAACGATGAGACTAGAAGCAGCTACTCAATGTCTGAGGGCGAAGTTGTACTGCTGACTGCAGAGAGGTGTGACGGCAGTCAGGTGTTTCCCTTGGACAACCAGCATTTGCAGCGATGCTGCCTCCTCACAAGGAAGGAGGGGTTAGAAAAGGTCGACCCTAAAAATGTCCCACCTCACCCTACCTCACGGATTTTCGTCTTCGGCGGTAAGGGTGCCCTATAAAGGCTTTCAAGAGTGGAGCTAATACTCAAAAAACCCTTCGGAAAAGGATGGTCTTATTATCCATTCTCAACCCAGCAGACTGGACCGATGGGCAGAACACTTTAGGACCAGTTCAACTGGCCTTTAGCCACACTTCGGTTACCCACGATCCTCAGTCATCCTGAATGGCAAATCGATCTAGGTCTTCCTAGTCTACATGAAGTTGAGAAAGCTATAGGAAATCTGAAGCGAGGGAGGGCAGCGGGTCCTGATAGGCTTACCTTTGAGATGTTCAAGGATGGTGGTCCAGTTTTAATAGTTAGACTGACCGAGATCTTAGGTAGAATCTGGGAACTGGACGTAATCCCATCTGTCTGGTCTCAGTCGCTTATTGTCCTAATCTACAAGAAAGGACAAAAGTCCTCTTGTGACAATCACAGGGGAATAAGTCTAACTAATATATTTTCTAAATTGTTAGCCTCCATTATACTTAGACGTCTAACTAGAGCTCGTGAAGAGCAGACTAGAGAAAACCAGTCTGGTTTCAGACCTGGACGTGGCTGTATAGACCACATCTTCACACTACGACAGGTCCTGGAACACAGTAGCACCTCACATATATCTTGTACTTTAATCATTTTTGAGCTTGTATGCGCATGTACGCTTGGGCATTTCTGCCACCTACACATATAGTTATTTGACTAGCTGTATCGATTAACAGTTTGAATAATTCGATGTCAATATCGACTATACATATGTGAATTAAATCCGTTATTTGTATCGATCATTAAATAATTTGAATAATAAAGAAATTGTAGAAACGACTCGTGTTCTCTTGTAGCGATCATCAAGACGGAGATAAACGGGAAATCGAAGATAAAGAAAGTCTAACGCCACAACACACATTTAGACGTCTAACAATAGCTGTGTTCCTGGACCTAGAAGCGGCATTTGAATCTATGGATTGTGAGGTTCTGTGGCAGTGTCTGTCATTGAAAGGTGTACCAAAGAAGTACATTAACCTCATACAAGCTCTCTACTCGAACACCACTGGTCGAGTGAGAGCTTATGGCGAACTGTCATCGAAATTCTTCACTTCAAGTGGTGTCCGTTGGGGATGTCCACTTTCTCCATTCTTGTTTAATTTTATCATAGACATTAAGCTCGTCAGATTTCTCAGGAGTTGACCTTCTACCAGGAAAATCGCTTACTGACCTGGAATATGCCGATGATATAGTGTGGTGCGCGCTACTTATAAGTAGTATGTGACGCGAGTAAAAACGCAATGTCTGGCAGCAGAAGATGGGGGAAGATCAAGAAAGGAAGAGCGGGAACACAGTGGGATTTGTATGAAACGCAAGAACAGTGAAATGTCAGACAATCGATTGATGTTTTGCAACAGGAACAGCCCAGTTCTATATGATGAATTGATATTTTGCAAATTAACGATATGGTTTTCCGATTTTACTGATTAACTCTGTAATTTGCGATAAATACAATTCGGTTGCCCTCACCTGTGTTCTACTTCACTACATTTGGAGTCGGTTCCTTGGCCGAAGGAATTTGAGGACGGAGACGTGCGGAGCTTCCTGAAGGAGTTTGAGGGCGTAGCGGAGCTGGTGGGTGTGAAGGAGCCGAAGGAGAAGTTGTTGGTGCTGGAGACGCTCCTGAGAGGTAGGGCAAAGGTCGTATATGACAGCTCGGACGGCGTTGGAGGGACGATGACATGGGAGACTGTCACGGAGTGGTCGATGACGGAGTTTGACAGCCCAGTGGACAGGGAGGAAGCGCTGCAGAAGTTCCGGTTGGCGAGGTTGTCGGTCGATGGTGACCCACTGGTGCTTGCTGTTGAGCTCACCAGATTGTTGGGCCGTGCGCTGCCGAATATCGATGAGGAGTCGGAGTCGCAGTTGTTGGCGTCGCAGTTTATCGAGAGTGTGCCTGCCGCCGTGTCCCAGCAGCTGAGACTAGTAAACGCAGCGCAACCTATGGATATCGGTGAACTGGCGAAGGTGACTCGTCAGCTGATGACACGAACAGTAGCTCCGGTCGTGTGCGGAAAGCAGGGGATAAATACTGTTGAAAAGAAGATTGAGGAGTTGTAGCGTAAGGTTGCAGCATTACGAGTGGATCGTAAAAGGAACGATAAATGTTACGCTTGTGGAGGGGTAGGACATTGGACGATAAACTGTCCAACAAGACGACGACGAAGATATTTTAGACATTATAACATGTGTTCTTTCCACCCTAGGAATCGGGAGGTTTTTGCACTAGTAGATAGAGGGGAAATTTATACCAGAGTGTACATAAATGAACAGGAGTTAGTGTGTTTGATCGATACAAGGGCATCAATATCGTTAATAGGCAAAGGGCAATGTAAGACAATCAAACCATGTACATTAGCTGTCCACACCATAGGAGGTCATATGCTAGAGGTGTTGGGAGTATCTAACAGTATTGTTAAAATGGGTGAAGCTGAGATAAATTTTCCGTTCGTGGAAACCACAAGCTTATCAAGACCGATATTAGGAGCAGATTTCCTAAGAGAGGTAAAAGCGATTATTGACTTGAGAAGCGGTAAAATGGTCACAAAGTATGGTTCATTGCCAATACACGAAAGGAGCGAAGTGGCTGAAATAAGAGTGACAACGGACGTCTCGACCATGAAACCAAACATTAATGAGTTATGCGCAAAGTATGCGAAACTGTTCACTCGAGATGGGGAGCCGTATGGATTTTGTGACAGAGTAAAGCACGAAATTCCTATGAAGAACGACCGAGTAAATATATTTGCAACACGTCGTGTCCCGGTGCATTTAGAGGCCGAGGTAAGTCGACAGGTCCAGGAAATATCGAAAGAAGGTATAATTGAGGAAGCGGACAGCCCATATAGCTCACCCAATGGAAAGTATAGATTTTGTGTCGACTTTAGAGAACTGAATAATATAGTAGACCTGAAACGTTGCGCAGTGCCAACAATAGTAGAAACATTGGATCGGCTACAGAATGCCACGGTGTTTACAGTGCTGGATTCACGGTCAGGTTATTGGCAACTACCTATAAAAGATAGCGATCGTAACAAGACAGCATTTACTATACGGGACCAGCAGTATCAATTTAAACGAATGCCGTTCGGGTTGGCGGATGAACCGTTTACGTTCAGAAGATTAATGACGCTACCTCTCAAGAATCTAGATAATGTTGAGGTATATGGCAACGATGTAGTTGTATACAGCCTGACGGAAACGGATCACGTCAAGCATGTGGAAGCAGTCCTAAAGCGAATT